CTCACCAGGATGGGAGCAGGGGAGGATCCCGGAGATAGCCTCAATTCCTGCCCTCCCTCAGGGTGCCTGCTCACCATCATCCTGCTGATGCGGGCACTGGACCCACTCCTGTATGAGAAGGAGACGTTGCAGTACTTCCAGACCCTCAAGGCAAGTTGGGCCTGTGGGAACAGCCCAAGGGAGGCCAAGGAGGCAAGAGGAAGGCCATTGACGTACATAACTGGCCTATCCCCACTAGGCTGTGGACCCCATGCGAGCTGCCTACCTGGATGACCTGCGCAGCAAGTTCTTGCTGGAGAACAGCGTACTCAAGATGGAGTATGCGGAGGTGCGCGTGCTTCACCTGGCTCACAAGGTATGGCCTGCCATGCACATCTTCCCCTAGGCCCTTGCTGCTGGCCTCACCTCAGGTACCTCCCAACCCAGGCTGCATCCATCACCTTCCCTCCAGTCTTCTCCTCTCCTAGGCCTTACTGTCTGACACTTGGCCCATCATTCTTCTTGTCCCCCAGCTTCAAATCCTAAGTCACCAGGGCCTCCTCGTGCTGCCCCTTGCACTGGGCTGCTCACGTCTTACTTCTTTGTTCAGAGTGTCCCTTCACCCACCCCTGCCACATTCCCACGTGTCTCACCATGGAGCATGTATCCCAAAACCTAAAGCCCAGATTGTTTCTAGACATTTCTGCTAAGCTTTCCAGGCTCCACTTTTCCTGTTTCTAGTCCTTCCCAGGCAGTCTTCCCACCACATCTGTTTTCCCATGTCACTGCAGCCCACCTCTGTTCCTGGCAAGTCTCTCCTGGCTCCTCACTCTGGTTCGCCTGAGCACCGGTCACTGTCCTCTGTCCTGTCCCCACTCAAGGCTGCCTCCTCCCCACTCCCACTGGCCCTCTCCCCACCCCGGCACTCCCTGTCTGTCCCATGTCCCTGGTTTATGGAATGTTCTGCTGAAGGCTCTGAGCTTCCCACCTGCTGCCATCCCTTCCCCAGTGGCCTGTGTGGACACAGAGGGCAGTGGCTGAAGACCTTCTTCCAGATCTTTTCAGGTATCTCATTTCCCTCCCACTCCTAGGATCTGACAGTGCTCTGCCATCTGGAACAGCTGCTCTTGGTCACCCATCTTGATCTGTCACACAATCGTCTCCGAACCCTGCCCCCTGCTCTTGCCGCTCTGCGCTGCCTTCAGGTAAAACACTCGTTCCTCCATTGCTGTCCCGGGTGGTCCTTTCCCCTTCCTTCACCTCAGAAGTCTGCCCACCCAACAGAGATGTCCAGGACTTCTCAGCCCCTGCCCCTCTATCACCCAGCCTGACCCCTTCTATGCACCGTAAGCTGATCACCCTGGGCTCCTCTGTTACTTGTACCAACCCCAGGCTAACAGCTGCCTGTTTGGTCTTGTGCCTCCCTTGACTCTCTGCTCTCCAGGTGCTGCAGGCCAGTGACAATTCCATAGAGTCCCTGGACGGTGTCGCTAACCTGCCCCAGCTGCAGGAGCTGTCACTGTGCAACAACCGTATCCTTCCTCCTGGCTGCCTTGCAGACAGCGCATAGATGAGGTGGCTGCTGCAAAGGAACAAACTGCAGACACAGCCAGAGTTCCGCCTTGAGGCAAGGAGGGAGACTGAGCTCTGGCAGTCTGAGCCAGGGAGATGATAGCCTAGGGCTTCTTGGGGCTGTCATTAACTTGAACTGGTGGAGTTCTGTAGCGTGTGACTTCCTCAAGCCAGAGTTCACAAACTGGCAAACTGTGGCTATTTCTGGGAACCACAGAATCAGGAAGTTTCTTTTTTTTTTTTTTTTCTTTTTCTTTTTTTCGGTACCGGAGATTGAATTCATGACCTTGCGCTTGCCAGGCAGATGCAGCGCCACTGAGCTACATCCTGGCCCAGGAAGTTTCATATTTTAAAAAACCTTCAATACTGATTACTTTTTTTAAAATTCGAAGTTAGAGAAAATTTGACCTGTATTTCAGCCCTTGGTCATTGCTGAATCAGGAATGCCTATTTGCACCACTTTGGTGCAAGGCTAGGTTTCCACTTTGCTGTAGTCTCTATCACTCTTGCTGGTAGCACACCTGGCCTGCTTCATGTGCTTCCTCCTAACCCCTGTGGCAGGTGTTTCCCGCCCATACCTCAAACCTTACTGTCTCCATGGAAGCATGGGAGATGCCCATCTAGCAGTCTTCCAGGCAGCAGTGCCCAGCTGTCAAGGGTCCCAGGAGCAAATGGATGGTGGGGAGAGGGACCTGGTGAACTTTCCTTGACTCTCAGCCCAAGGCCTTCAGCAGCCTGCAGCGCTCCAGTCTCTTGCCTCCTGCCCCAGGCTGGCTCTCCTCGACCTTCAAGGCAATCCACTGTGCCAGGAAGGGGGCATCTTGGATCACCTGGCCAAACTGTTGCCTTCAGTTCGTAGCATCCTCACCTAAGAGGCCCTGCCCTCTGCCCTTGCCCTTTAACTTATTGGGACTGAATAAAGAATGGAGAGGCCACCTCAGGCTGCCAAGCTACTGTCACTGCCATCACTACGGCTATCCCCATTACTACCTCCACATGGTTTGGGACATGAAAGGGAAGAGACTTGGAGCGTGACTCTGCTTTCATCTGATACCCTGCACCCTGCTGTTCCCTGTCATGGAGACCCAAAGCCTTCAGGTTTGGGGCAGAATTCAGGTCTGAGACTCCATTTGAGTGTAACATTTAGTTTGGGGCCAGCACTGGGCCCAGGTTCCAGGCTGGGATGAGGATTGGAATCAGTTCCCAGTCTGGGCTGAGTTACAAAGCATTTGTAAGTCTCACCAGCTAGAAGGAATCATAAAGTTTCTCCCATGACCCCCTGCCCTTTTCAGATGCCCTCTCCTTGCCTGGCTCTCAGTCGTCACGACTGAGAGGGCTCGGGCACTCTGTGTTCCAGGAAAAGCAGGTCAGGGCACCCTTGCTCCACCCTGTTGTAACAACAGTATCAGTCCCATGAACAGCTCTCTGCAATTGAAAAGCCCTGGAAATACTTGATCCCATTTGATCCTCACATGTTTTCAGGGCTGAGATGGTTTGGCTGAAGAAACCGCTGTTGAGACTTGCCAAAGGTTGCTGAGCTCTTAAGTGCTGGAGCCAAAGACACCCGGTTTAGTGCTACAGCCTCACTTTCTTGTTTCTGCAGAGACCTGGGCTCAGCTCCCTGAGGTATTGAGCTACATGTCCTTCCAGCTGTCAGCCCACACACTTTGTCCTAACTTTGAAAGGCCCTGAGGCATCAGGCCTCCCGAGGAGGAAACAGGAGTGGCTCAGGGGTTAGCACTGAGTCAAATTTGGCTGGGTGGGGAAAGAAAGATTACAACGAGAGGGAGAGAGAGAGAGAAGGCATGTGTGTGACAAAGGCATTTTCCTGGTTCTGTGGAACCTGCCTGGGCCCACATGTGCCCACAGACGTCCAGCAAGTTGGGGCCATGCCCCTTCCTGTATCCCAGGTGTTGCCCAAACAGCTCCACAACAAAAGGCTTTGGTTGAACTGCCTCAGGCTGGCCTGGAATTTTGCATGTGCTGAGGATATTGGAGGTGGAACAGATCCTCCAGGTTCTGGAGGTTGCAGTGAGACAAGAAAAAGTGGGTGTGGAGAACTCCCTGCCAGGTCCTGAAACCTCTTTGTCCCCACTCCCCGAGGCACACCCCTGCCTGATACAATTCCAAACAGCCTTTCCTGGAGACAGTTTTCACTGTCTTCTGCTCAGGGGCCAGGCAGAGCTGGGACACCAGAGGGTTGGAGGGAGAAGCACCTGGCTGACAGATAGAAGAGCAAGGCCCATGGAGAGCCTCCCTGAAAACGTTTGGCTCCTCTCTGCCTTGAGTTTATCTCCATGGCATCTCTGGTGTCTCTCAGAGACAGGGGTGGAATTAGCAAGCACTTAGGGTAGGTTCTTGGAGCTGGTTAGTCTGGATTCCCATGAAGAATTTCAGGTTGGAGAAGAGGGAGAATCTTCAGCTCCAGCTGACCAGGCACTACTCTCAGAGAAGGAAATAGGCCTATAGGAATGAGCCTTGGTTCCCAACCAAGTCTGAGTTCAAAGGCCTAAGCCTCTCCTTAACCCCCAGGCTGGAAGGAGAAAAGAGCTTGCCCCTGCTTTGACTCCCTGACCCAAACATGGAAGACAAGAAACTTGAGGGCCGGCTCACTCCTGCCCAGATGTGAGGGCTGTGGACCAGCTGGAGGAAGGAGAAACATGGGGGGAGGGGTGTCAGAAGATCTGGTAGAGCCAGCAGGTCAGGGGCTGGCCGGTGGAGCCAGTCTTCGGGCCTGGCTGCTGATGTCACCAGTCTGCACCCCAGGATGCTGGGACTTCCCTGGCAGAATGAGTTCCAGGACCAGGCCTGTGGGCCAGTTTCACAGGGCTGAGGGGGGTTTGGGCTGCAGGAGCACTTGGCAGCAGGGGTCTATGAGGGCAGACAGGGCCAAGGATAAAAGGGGCTCCCTGCTCTATGGCCCTTCACATGCCCGGTCTGGCAAGAATCTATCTGGCATGAAATCCATCACACCTGTGGTCCCACTAAGGCCTGCTCTGTACCCTAACCGCAGTCCTGACAGACCCAGTCCCCGCCCCTTTCCCTAGCATCACCTTCGTTCCTAGAAAGGGGTAAAGAGGTGGGGCCGACCCCCAGAGGCTGGCCTTCTTCCCCAAGGGGATGGAGCAACCAACTTCCCCTAATTCCCCACAGCTCGGCCCCGCCCTCCTCCCCTCATAAACTACTTGCCTGGCCCGCCCCACACCTTCCACTCAGCGGGCGGGCGGGGTCCAGCCCGGCCCTCCTGTCACATCAGTCCCCACCTGTTCCGCCCCAGGACTCAGCGCTGCCGTCGCCAACACCGCTGCCAGGTGAGGGACTCGGGCTCCGAAGGTTGCTGCGGTACTGAGCCTCAGCGGGCCGTATCGCTGTCGGACCAAGTGCCAGGGTCCCATCCCAGAAAGGAGATTAGGCCAGCGGGTACCTACCTGTCGGCTGGGCTGGGTGCTGCTCTCCCAGGGCTCAGCACAAGCTCCAGGCACCAGTGGAGCCCCTGCCACCGGCAGCCCCTGTGGGGTTTGCCAAGCACCCCAGGCCACCCACGGACCCCACCTGTCTTATACAAAGCCTGGAGTGGGACGCTTTCCACTACCAGATGGGTCCTAGAAGCTGTCTTCGTGGTGGCCTTCTAGACTAACGAGCCACAGGTGGAGGAACCAGAACACAGGACCCAGTACTCTGGTCTGTGCAGCTGGGTGTAGAGGCTGAGAGATCACTCAGAATTGTATGCATTTCCTCAGGTGGGGTCTTGAGTGGGCTTCTCCACTGAGCATATGTTTTGGGGATGTGGTTGGGTGGGTGCCTCTGTAGGGGTGGAGGGAAGGCTTCCTGTGCAGTGTGGAAAGCCTTCTCAGGGTGAGTCTAAATGGAGTTTCTAGAGGATCTCTAGGTCTATGGACATCTCTGGGTCGTATTGTCTCTGTCATCTGCCTGGGGCCAAACCTGCTGTCTGGACGGGCGGTTTTGTGGTGACCGGAGCCAGTGATCAGTCTCCTTTGCCTCTTCTTACAGGCATGATGGACAGTTCTCGCTCAGACATGGGCCGCTGGGGCGGGAACCCCTTGCAGCCCCCTGCCACACCTTCTCCAGAGCCAGACCGAGTCTGGGACCGAAACCGAGACCGAGACCGACGCCGAGGAGGAGGAGCCCGTTCCTTCTGGGCTCGCTGCTGTGGCTGCTGCTCTTGCCGGAATAGGGAAGATGACGACTGGGGGCCTGAGCCTTCTGGCTCCAGAAATCGAGGGTCCAGCTCTTGGAATCGAAGACCTGAATCCCGGGGCAGTGGTGTGAATGCGGCAGGAGATGGCACCGTCCGAGGTGAGGCCAGCTGCCCACTTCAGTTGGGAGCAAGAAGGCCTCAGTGAGATCTGAGGCTTATCCTGGTATCTCTAAGGGAGCTGGGAAGCTAAGGGGGGTGGTCCGAGTTCCTCAAGGGCCTTTGCTGACCTTGAGATGTGGCCTTGCAGAGGGCATGCTGGTGGTGACCCGTGTGGATTTGCTGGGCTCCCGCTCAGACCAGAACCGTCGAGATCACCACACCGATGAGTTTGAGTACGATGAGCTGATTGTGCGCCGTGGGCAACCTTTCTACCTGGTCCTCTTCCTGAACCGGCCCTATGAGTCCTCTGACCGTATGGCCCTTGAGCTGCTCATTGGTGAGTAGCACCTAGAATAGGAAGGGTGAAGACCCTCAACTTGATGGGGTTGGGGCTGACATTAGAGGTCAGAGAGGTCTTCAGCTCCTCCTAGCCACTGCTTACCTCCACCAGATAAGGCAGGTGCAAGCGTCCTGAGGGGTGCATCTCTAGGAGGGTCTTGGTGATGGAGTTTTCCCAAGCTCATTCTCTCCTCAAGCCTCAGGGCAGCATCTGTTCACTGTACCTCCTCGTAGGGCTGACCTCAGTGTGCCTCAGTGTGCTCTTCTTTCTGGGTCTCCTCTTTCTTCAGGGTGTGGTTGCTTCTCTCTCTCTCCCTTCCTCCCCCTCTTTCCTCTTCCCTCTCTCTCTCCAGCTCTGACTCTGTATCTGTCCCGTGGCCCAAGGCAGATGCCTCCCTCACTGCATTGCTTGGTGACCCTTGGCTGCCCAGGCTGGTGATTATGGAGCTGTCGGGGGCGGGCGACTCCTCTTACCCTTTGATTAGAGTCTAACCTTGCCCACCCCAGCCTCTAATTTCCCAAGTACCCTCACCATCGCAGCCCCAGGAAGCAGACAGGTTGGCATTCAGTATCCAGACTTCCTTTTCCTACAGGGCAGGGGGATCTGCACCAGCCTGGGTGGCTCTGCACCTCCAGCCCAGACACTGGAATGGACAGGCAGGCAGGCAAAGGGTGACAGTGGCCCTGGTCTCCACTCCCAGACTCTAACTTCAAGGTTGGGGAAACAAGTTTGGGATGTTGGACGGGGGCTCTGCCCTAACATGTAGGGAAAATGTCAGGTGGACACAGAGCTGCTCTGAGAGAGATTATTAGAGACTAAGGCGATAACCCAACTCAGGGACACACATACACAATGGCTCATAGATGTTTGGGGTGGGGCTGGGCGAAGTCTGAGCTTCCATCCCTTCTCCCAAGTGAGACTCACTAGCAAACTGCTCATTCCTCCACTCTAGGAAACAACCCTGAGGTGGGCAAGGGCACCCACGTGATCATCCCAGTGGACAAGGGGAGCAGTGGGGGCTGGAAGGCCCATGTGACCAAGGCCAGCGGGCAGAATCTGAATCTGCGGGTCCACACCTCCCCCAGTGCCATCATCGGCAAGTTTCAGTTCACGGTCCGCACACGCTGTGAGGCTGGAGAGTTCCAGCTGCCCTTGGACCCCCGCAATGAGATCTACATCCTTTTTAACCCCTGGTGCCCAGGTGAGCCAGCGGGGGTCGGGCAGCAGAGGGTGGGCAAGAGGGAAGGCAGGTCAGGGATCCTTTCCTGGGATCTGACTGGGTGCCTGGCCGTGAGAGGATCCATGCTTCCATCATCCAGGTGGGGGAGCCTGGGCCCATTGCGGGAAAGTGGCCGCTCCACATCTCCTGAGGAAAGGCCCGGACCATAGCCAGCCCTCTCCTACCAGCTCTGTCATGCTCCCTTCCTCCTTCTAAGAGCAATCCTGTCAGGCTAAAGTATCCCCGTTTTCTTCTGTGCACTGAAATTCTACACACCTGCCAGGTGGTAGGTAGGGCCCAGGACAAGAGTGAAGGAAACTAGGTATGTGTTTTCTGGGGACACAGAGGACATCGTGTATGTGGATCATGAGGACTGGCGGCAGGAATATGTACTTAATGAGTCTGGGAGAATTTACTATGGAACTGAAGCACAGATTGGTGAGCGGACCTGGAACTATGGCCAGGTATGGCTGTCTGGGGTCCCATGCACCCAGGGGACATGGAGGTGCAGCAGGGGCTGGCCCAGGGTTTGATCTCTGTCAGAGTGAGCTGTGGTCACCTCTGCCCTTTCTCCTTCCAGTTTGACCACGGGGTGCTGGATGCCTGCCTGTATATCCTAGACCGGCGGGGGATGCCATACGGAGGTCGTGGGGACCCAGTCAGTGTCTCCCGCGTCATCTCTGCTATGGTGAGCGCCCTTGCGTCTTTGAGTCCTGCTCAATGTCCTCCTGCTTCCTCCCTTCACCCCTCCCCACTGGTCTTGTTCTTTCTGGATTCCTTCAGTACCCATAACACTGTCCGTGCCTTATAAAGGGTACTGCAGAAAGGGGGTTCACTCTTCCTCTTCTCTCCCTTCTCTACCCCCCATTCCAAACCGCCTGGCTCTTGTCCCAGCTCTTGTGGAATGTAGGGCCAAACCCAAAACTTGGCACACCCAGGATTCACATTCCTGTGTCAGACAGTGGGGAGGTGTGTTTCGGGAGACAGGTGGGTGGGGTCAGGCTGATCCTGAGGCATTTAGGGTGAGGGGTAGTTGGAGGGTCAGAGACTAGGCTTGGGACCCTGCCAGGTCTGAGTCCCTCCCCCAGCTCACCCCACCCCTCTTGTCCTGGGCAGGTGAACTCCCTGGATGACAATGGAGTCCTGATTGGGAACTGGTCTGGCGATTACTCCAGAGGCACCAACCCTTCAGCGTGGGTGGGCAGCGTGGAGATCCTGCTTAGCTACCTACGCACAGGCTATTCTGTCCCCTATGGCCAGTGTTGGGTCTTTGCTGGTGTGACCACCACAGGTAGTAGAGGGACCGGGAAAGGAATGGTCTAGGCCCCTTAAGGAGGAGGGAGGGAAGCCAGGCTCCATCTTTGCTCAGCGCAGCCCACCTCTGGCTATAGCACAGGGTGCAAGCAAGGGTGGATGGCAAGATGGCCTTAATTATCATTAATTATTGTTAACAACAAGAGAGGCCTAAGGGAGAGGAGGAAGAAGCAACAGGAAGAGCTGAGCCAGACAGGTGGCCCAGCTTTCCCTAGCCCCAAACGCTCTGTGGCTCAAAGGCCTCCTGGACCCTGTGGCCCCTGACCCTGTAAACCATGCACATTGGCAACTTCAGCCACCCCTTTCCCCTAGTATCCTCGACCTGACATCTCACTTGCCCCCTACCTCATCCCCTGAACCTCAACTCTGGCTCCTCCACAGTGTTGCGATGCCTGGGCCTAGCCACACGTACTGTCACCAACTTCAACTCTGCCCACGACACTGACACATCCCTCACTATGGACATCTACTTTGATGAGAACATGAAGCCACTTGAGCATCTGAACCACGATTCTGTTTGGTGAGGTTGGGGTGGGCCTGGACTGTGCGTTTCTGCTGCAGAATGGTTCCCTGAGGCCTTGACATGGAGGAGGGCAGGGAAAGTGGTCGAGGAAGCCTTGATGGGAGTCTCAGACTCAGCCCTCCCTCCATGTCCACCCAGGAATTTCCATGTGTGGAACGACTGCTGGATGAAGAGGCCGGATCTGCCTTCGGGCTTTGATGGGTGGCAGGTTGTAGACGCCACACCCCAGGAGACTAGCAGTGGTAAGGCAGGCCCTGCCTGGCTCTCAGACCCACCCTGGCCCCCTCCAGATCTCCTCCATCTGGGTACCAGACTCCGGAGTCTCAGATTGGGCCTAGGCCTGAGACCCAAGTCCTTTAATCCCAAATTGCTTTAGCTTTTTGAGACAGGGCCTCACTTTTTTTTTTGGTACTGGGGATTGAACCCAGGACTTCGTGCTTTTGAGGCAGGCACGGCACCACCGAGCTAAATCCCCAGCCAATTTGCTTTATTGTTTTTGTTTGGTTTTTTTTTGGTACTGAGGATCGAACTTGGGACCTTGCGCTTGTGAGGCAGGCGGCCAATTTGCTTTAAATGGGCTTATCAACTAAACTACCATTGGGCCATTTTATTTTTATCTTTTTATGTGACTATTTGCCTTAATTTTATTTATAATGGTCAATTTTATTTATTTATCATAGCTAATACACTCAAATGGTTCAAAATTCAAAAGATTCAAGAGTAGTCAAGGAGAAAGCGCCTCCCTCCAGCAAAAACACTATTCTTGCTTTTTCCCCTAACACACCCAGAGATAACTAAAGAAACTTTTTATTTATATATGTATTTTAGGGTTAAAAGGTCATAATTATCAGTAATGCAAAAATAGTATATAATTTTATAACATAATATTTAACACTTCCTGTTTTTTCAGGAGATAGTTGCTTTTCTTTCATCATCTTTTTTTTGCTTGTTGTTTGTGTTTTGTTTTGGTTTTTGGTTTTTTTTGGTACCGGGGATCAAACTCGGGTCCTTGCGCTTGCAAGGCAGGCGGTGGAACCACTGAGCTAAATCCCCAGCCCTGTTTTTTGGTTTTTTTAAAACAGGCTCTTGCTATGTAATCCAGGCCAACCTTGAACTCACTGTGTAGCCCAGACTGGCCTTCAATTTGCAATTCGCCTGTTTCTCCCAAGTGCTAGAATGACAGGTGAGCATAACCACACCTGGCAAGATTTTTTTTTTTAAGTAAATTTCTACTTTTTTTTTTTCTGTACTGGGGATTGAATTTAGGACTTTGCACATGCAAGGCAGGTGTAGAACCACTGAGCTAAATCCCTGGCCCAGTTTCTACTCTTTTGGGGAGCCCACCCCAAACCTGATACCTCATGAACCTAGGACCTTGGGCATGCTAGGCAAGCTCGACCCCTGAGCTACATCCCCAGCTCCAGCCCCACAATCTATATTTTTGGAAGTTTAATCTAGTAATTCTGAAGACCTCTCAGGTTTGAGACATACTTCATGCCCTGTGAGACACATGGAAAATGGTGGCCTGCAGAGAGACTTTGGAGAGACTTTGTCTGGGACACAGAGCACTAGAATCAGACCAAATCCAATCCCACCCTCTGCCTTGTTGAAACACACTCTCATTTTCACCAACTTCCTCTCCTGTTTGTTCCATTATTTACTATGAGTTATGTGTACAGTATAGAAAAATCAGAGCTCAGGATTCAAAGAAAAAGAACAGCCCCTAAAACATAGCCCTCAGACGTAGCCTGGATGACATAACCTATCAGCCTCTTGTCTCTTTTCTGTATCCACAAACACATTTCTGCAAAAACGAGACCTACTGTACACTCTGCTCAGAGATTCCCAACCCCTTCTAACCTTGGCATTCCAGCCCCGGCAGCCTGCCTCCCCTTCCCGATGCTTCCAGCCTACCCTTTCCCAGATCCAACAGCCTAGCCTAGCCTACATTCATCCGCTGGTCTCTTCCCAGACCTCACCCTCTCAGCCGTCTGTGTATATGGTCCCCCCTGAGTTGTACAGCCTAGTGATGTCTGCCAGATGAGAACCGCCTGGCCCTGGCACTGGGGGCTCTGAGCTCTGCCCCCTTTCTGAGGAGTGGTGGGATAGGTGGCAGGCAGGGGACTCTGGGACCAGCCAAGCCAGGACTTGACTCCACCTTGATCACTTCTTAGATGAGATATCTTGCACCTTTGGCTTTGGTGTTCCTGTGTGTAACATGAGAATAACATACACCATGTAAGGATTTAAATGAGAAATTATTAAGGACTAGCAACATGCCTGGAACATTGTAGCCATTCGGTAAATATTTTTCTCCTTGCATCTGTCTCATAAGATGGTGGCATCTACTTCACCTGGCTGAGCCTGTTTTCCCATATGTAACAGGAGGCCATCACTTTAGGTATTGTTAAGATTCTTGGGCCGGGGATTTAGCTCAGTGGTTCCACCGCCTGCCTGACAAGCTCAAGGACCCGAGTTCAATCCCCAGTACCAAAAATTTAAAAAAAGATTCTTTCCTGTCAGATAGCCCTCACTTCCTGTTTGCCCTCTTCTACATAACCTTCTCCTGCCAGCCTATTTCCTCCAGGAAGCCCTCCTAGGCACAATAAAGACAGACTTTCCCCCTATCCCCATGCCCCACTTCCCAGTAGAGAGGACAGAATGGGCTGCAGAGCCGAGGATCTTTCTGCAGTGGTGGAGGTGATGTCATTGCTCTCCCAGCCAGCCAGCAGACACTGTGGGCCCTGGGTGGATCCTGGAGAAGGGGAACAGTGCTGTCCTCTGGGGGAGTCACAGATAGTAGACATCCAGCTTTAGCTGGCCCAGAGAGTGGGCTTATGACTTGGCTATGAAGGCCAAGCCTACCCTTGTCCACAAGTTTGCCCCCTACTCCGACCTCTGGCAGAGCTGCTTGGGCTTAAGAAAGCTGACTGCTCTCTTTGTTTTCCCTCCTTTGGTTGGACTGAGTATCAGCTGGCCCTGAGTGTCTGGATGAGGGCTGCTGGCCTTGTCCAGAGGCTACCAGCCAGTGGTACAGGACCTGGTAGATGGTACTGGGGCCCTGTGTAACCTCTGCCCAGGGCCCAAGGGACCCTCTCAGCTTCCTCAGACCCCTCACCTCTGCCCTGCCTCACTCCTTAGGCATCTTCTGCTGTGGTCCCTGCTCTGTGGAGTCCATCAAGAATGGCTTAGTCTACATGAAATATGACACACCCTTCATTTTTGCCGAGGTGAGGGCTGGGCTCCAGGTGCCCCCTCAGGCCACCTGGAATGATCAGAGCATTGGCTTCAGCCCTGGGTCCTGTGGTCCAGACTTCACCGCTGACTGACTAGCTGTGTGATCTTGGGCAAGTCACTCATTCTAGAGGCTTAGTTTCCTCCGTTGTAAAAAGGGGATAATAATGGCTGCCTTGCTTCCTGCACTCAGGATCAAAAGAGATAATGGGTATGAAACTGCTTCATAAGTCATAAAACCAGTGAATGAGCATAAGGGATTACTGTTATTAATGCCAAAATGTGCTGCAAGGAGCCTCCCAGACCAGCTTCTCCCCAGCACTATGGCTTCATCTGGCTCACCTTGGAAGTCTTCCAGATGGGACCTGCCAGGAAGCTCTCCAACACTTAACCTGGTTCTGCCCTGAAGCTCCAGGGATGGTTGCAGGGTGGGAGTGGGGGTGAGGGAGTGACATAGGACTAGGGGGCCAAGCCACCCTCACACCTGGCTACTTCAGTCCTGCTCACCCCTCCTCTCCAACAGGTGAATAGTGACAAAGTATACTGGCAGCGGCAGGAAGATGGCAGCTTCAAGATTGTGTATGTAGAGGAAAAGGCTATTGGCACCCTCATTGTCACAAAAGCTATCAGCTCCAACATGCGGGAGGACATCACCCACACGTATAAGCATCCAGAAGGTACTAGTCCCCCAATCCAGCCAGCCCAGTGCTGAGTGTTCTGCTGAGTGTTCATTCACCCACCCCAGCCAGTGCTGGGACCTCATCCCTGACCTTCAACCCCCAGGCTCAGAAGCAGAGCGGAAGGCAGTGGAGACAGCAGCTGCCCATGGCAGCAAGCCCAATGTGTATGCCAGCCGAGACTCTACTGAGGACGTGGCCATGCAGGTGGAAGCTCAGGACGCAGTGATGGGCCAGGATCTGACAGTCTCTGTGGTGCTGACAAATCGTGGCAGTAATCACCGCACTGTGAAGCTGCACCTCTACCTCTCTGTCACCTACTACACTGGTGTCACTGGGTCCATCTTCAAAGAGAGCAAGAAGGAAGTGGCACTGGCACCAGGAGCCTGTAAGTGCTCCTTACCCTGCCCTACCCCCTAGATGGCCAAGCTGCCAGGGCTGTGAATGTGGAGACCCCAGAGCAATGGGAAGCACCCTGGGGAGGCCTCATCTGGGGAAGCAGGCCTCGGTGACCCCATGCCACTTTCCCCCAGCGGACCGTATGACTATGCCCGTGGCCTACAAGGAATACCAGCCCCACCTCGTGGACCAGGGGGCCATGCTTCTCAATGTCTCTGGCCATGTCAAGGAGAGCGGGCAGGTGCTGGCCAAGCAGCACACCTTCCGTGTGCGCACCCCAGACCTCTCCCTCACGGTAAGTGCAGCTTTCTGGACATGAGGGACAGCCAATGAGCAATGACCAGGGGCTGAGGGAAACTGGAGGAAAAGAAGGAGGGCACTAAACTAGGAGCAGGCTAGCCTGATGGGCCTTTCCAGGAGAAAAAGTTTAAGGACCAGCTCTGGGCTCTTGGGCCTCCATTCCCTCACTTGTAAAGTAGGATCACATGTCCCTGATCCTGTGGTAAGTGTGGGTTGGGTTGGAATTTCCCCTGTGACTTTTGGGAAGCCTTCAATCAGGAGCAGAATATGAGACTCAGAAAATTTTTATTCTAAGTATTCCCCCCCTCAAGAGCAGCATACAGGCTGGGGATTTAGCTCAGTGGTTTCGCCGCCTGCTGCGCAGGTGCAAGGACCCGAGTTACCCAAGTTCAATCCCCGGTACAAAAAAAAAAAAAAAAGAGCAGCATACAGCCCCATGTGTTTAAGCCAGGGTCTCTGATGTAGGCCATGCCTCTCTTTCAGTTACTGGGAGCAGCCGTGGTTGGCCAGGAGTGCGAAGTACAGATTATCTTCAAGAACCCCCTGCCCATTACCCTGACCAAAGTTGTCTTCCGGCTCGAGGGCTCCGGGTTACAGAGACCCAAAGTCCTCAATGTTGGGTGAGTCTGACATCTCCTGCTCGGTTGCCTCCCTTCCCCCAGCTTTGTTTTCTATCTGGACCAGGACCCCACACAGCAGCTTGGGACCAGCTAAACAGTCCCCCCAACTCATTCAATTCAGTCCAGCCAGTGCTTAGGGAGGCCTGCTGGGGCCTCATGCTGCACCCCAAGTTCCTATCCCACCTCACCATCTAATTAGGGAGTGAAACTCCACATGGGAATAATTAGTAACCAACACTGAAGAGCTGACCAGGCGCTTTCAGGAATATTATCTCACTTGGAGATCACTAAAGCCCTTTAAAGTAGAGATTGTCCTTTGATTAAAACCAAAGAGATAGATCCCTAAAGATTTAGGTTCAATCCCAGCTTCATCACTCCTGACCAGGTCCCCTCAGGCAAGGGATGTAGCTCTTCTAAGTAAGTGTGTGTTCTTACCTATCGAGGGGGATGCAATCGTACCTCAGGGGAGGGTTGGTTAGTCCAGTGCACAGCTCAAAGTTAGTGTTCTGCCACTAGATATTATTTTCCTTATTGCTATCCTCACTTGACAGATGGGGACACTGGTGGCCATGTCTCACAGGGTCTTACAGTGTACAGGGAGCAGACTCTGCTCTCTCCAGTGTGCTGCATACCACAAGGCCCTCAACTCCTGTCTGGTTTGTGCCATGAGAGCTAAGCAGCAGTTCCAGGCCCTTTCCCCCAGGCTAGGCCTGATCCCAGTCGGGACGAGGCTCTAGGCCTGTGACTATCATCTCTGACAGACATTCCATGTCCTGTTTCTCCCCAGGAAAAGCAGAAGGAAAGCAGGGCTACTCTTCAGATCAGCTTTCTGGGGCTAGGGACAGGCATTTTCCTGTTGGGGAGAGCGACACCCGTGAGAAAGGGTAGAGGTGAGGCCAAGAGCCCTGCCCACTCCCTCCCTCATACCTCCTGCCAGTGGCTACCACTTTTGCCATCAGGTCAAAGCTGAGAAGTTCGCTCTCCCGAACTTTGCCCCAGCCTGGTCCCCTGTGAATTCAGAGATACCTCACAAGGCAGCTGTCCTCAGTCACGCTATGAGTGCCTCTGGCAGCTCAGACAATGGAGCTTGACACAGACACAGCCTGCACTGCTAGTCCTGCCTGCGCCATCTCTCACCAGCACTTACACCATCCTATGGGGTCCTGAGACCAGACACTCCTCAGCATTCCCACCAGGCCATTGACTATGCCACCGCGGAAATGAGGGAAAACCACTATGCTGAGTGTCAGAGCACCTGTCTCCTCTCCTTAGCTGGGCCTTCTGTTAGTTCTTCCCCTATTGGAGGCCCCATCTGTCTACAGTAAGTGAGAGTTAGATCATGGTCTCTCAGCAGGCCTGCCTTAGACATTTTGGGACTCCTTGGCTGCTGCTAACTCAGACTAGGGCATCTCGGTCATTTGGGATCCTCAAGGGTACACCCCTGAGCTGTTGGTTCAGATGCATTACATTCCAAGATGGGTGTTACTTTGCCTCCCATTTGCACATCAAAGGCAGTGGTATGATGTGGAACCCCATTATAGAAGGTGTGCCACCCCAGCATGGTGACTGGCCACCTAATAAACATTCCAGGACTTACTCCTCCAGATGACTGCTGTCACCATCAAAACAGTCAAGAGGAGGCTGTCTGTCCCAAGCCCTTCTTGGGGACTTCCCTTAGAGCCTGAATCACTCTCTAAAATGCACCTGGAGTGGGCAATTTCTCTTCTTGGGCAGTGGATTTGACTTTGGGGAACAAGTATGAAGTCATCGAGAGCTAAGACTAATTAACAAGGTAAAAAATAAGGAGGATACAATGTCCTTTCATTCAAAAGAGGTGTGCTGTGCTCACTTTGGCAGCACATACACAGAAATGAGGTGTGCTGTGAAGGAGGGACGGGCTGACTCTGCATATCCATGCATGCGTGTGCCTGCGTGTATGTGTGCATGTGTAGTTTAAAGGAATCTGTTAAAAATCTAAGAGTTTTGTTTTGTTTGAGACAGGGCCTTGAACTCACTATGTAGCTCAGGCTGGGCTCAAACTTGTGGAAATCCTCCTTCTTCGGCCTCCCAAGTGCTGGGATTACAGTCGTATGCCACCATGCCCAGCTAAAGTCCAAGAGTTTTAAAAATGTTTCAAGCCCTGTCAACATGGTTGAACAAGTACCCAATTGAAGGGCAGCCCTCCCTGTGATGTCTAAGTTCCAATGTGCACATCAGGGAGTTAGTTTCATTACCCACACACAGCTACAGGACATTCCAGCTTTAGCAACAGACTTGTATGCAACTTCATCTCGGGCAGAGGTGTGGCAAAGGCCTCACCTTGCACTAAGTTCAGGGCAGGAAGAGAGTTTGACATTGCCAGCCAGAAGCTGGAAAGCAGTTTCTTATGGGAATAATGTTAATTATTCCACTATAAAGGTTAATTTCTGAAATATTACAATTCAATGATAGTTAAGTACACTTTTGAAGGCTGTTCTAAGCCTAAACAACTTTTAACCTGTGTCTATAAAGAAGTGGACAAAAAATTAATGCAGATTTGTAAGGAGCCAAAATATAACCTGTTAAGCTATAGACTCCCTGTGAGACTTTCTAGCGTGATATACACTCCTGCTTCCCTCCTTCAGGGACACAGAGGCACTTTCAAGGCCATCTGATCCCACCCCTTCACTTTAATTCACTTCCATTTTATGGACCAGAAAGTGAGAAGCAGAGAAGTTAAGTAAATTGTCATGAACCACACAGCTAACAAGCAGTAGAAGTAGACCAGCCCAGGGAAACCTCTCTTTGTACCTGCAGCCTGCAGGTACAAAGCCATGGCCCACAGAGAGCTCATCTTCAGTCAGGGATGCTGGTTCATTCCCTTGGAGGACTGTGCTGAATACACCACCCAAAGAGCCTCCAAAGAGGGACCCCAAGGCAGGCTTGGGTTGAATGGGTGCCCGAGGTAAGGGTTTGGGTGAGGAGGAAGGACAGATTCTGGCAGGCACAAGCAGATGCAGCTGTGTTCAGTGTATAAAACGCAACATGCAGGTTGCTGAAGAAGCTCAGACAGGGCAAGATTCGTTTCCTTAGGAGCAGGAAGTGCACAGGGAGCCCTCACTGAGGAGGTGGTGTGAGCCTTTTAAGGATTTCTTGGCCTTGGGAGCCCTAGTGAGACGGCGATGGTGTGGTCAGGGCAGGAGCAATGGTGACGGAGAGAAGGGGAGGCTGTGTGCTCCTTCTGGGGTGGCATCAGCAGTCTGTCCAGGTGGATGTGGGAGCAGACAGGGAGGAGGCCTGGGTGGTGTGTGGCTGCTGATCTGCCTATGTGGCGGTGGCCCTGGGGCTCAGGCTTTGTCCTGGTCATGGGTATGGATTCCAGGTGAGCCCAGGGTAGCCTGAATGGATCCTCCTGTTGCTCCTTCCTTCCTGCCTGCCATGGATCAGTCCTTATAGCCCCATGAGTTACTGTAGGCCTATGACCCTGTCTCTCCACACAGGGACATCGGGGGCAATGAGACAGTGACCCTGCGCCAGACATTTGTGCCTGTGAGACCAGGCCCACGCCAGCTCATTGCCAGCTTGGACAGCCCACAGCTCTCCCAGGTGCACGGTGTCATCCAGGTGGATGTGGCCCCAGCCTCTGGGGGCGGGGCTTTCTCAGAAGCTGGAGGTGACAGTCGCTCTGGGGAGTCCATCCCTATGGCATCTCGAGGTGGAGCTTAGCCCTGGACCAGGAGCCATGGGACTGGAGTCAGAAGAGCAAGGACACTGCCCCAAGATGTGGGGCCCAGCACAGAGTGGCTCCCCAGGGCCTCAGGAGAGAGCCTGGGGCACTGAAGAGGGAGCCAGTCTTTACCTACACTGGGTGGCACAGAGGACAATAAACTTTTGTAATGAATCTGCTGTCCTGTCATTCTGTCAGCCTCCATCAGATGTTCCAAGGTGTGAGGCTGCAGTCTGTGCTGGGGATGACGTGCACTCCTGCTGCCCCTGAGAAACCCAGCGGGCAGGTGATGGTGCCAGCTCAGCAGCCCTTGAGACAGGGGCTGCTTAGGGTCGGGGCAGACTCCCTTGCTTCCCAGGTTGCTGCTGCCATGCAAATCTTTTTTGAAGCCCACTGCAGTGGGGCATCACTACCCACTTTCCATAGCTCCCTCAGTAGAGACAAGGACCCAAATTCCCTTTCAAAGGCACATGCTGGAGGCAGAAATAGGTTGGTGAACTCTCAGAGCAGTATAATCCACCTTCCAATATTTGTTTCCAAAGATCTTCCTCTAAGAATTTTTACAAAATTAATACATGTTCAGTGTTGAAAATTAAGAAAACATAGAAAATTGTAAAGAAGAAAATAATAGGGCCGGGAATTTAGCTCAGTGGTTTTGCCGCCTGCTGTGCAAGCACAAGGACCCGAGTTTGATCCCCAGTACCAAAAAATTAATAATAAAATAATAATAATAATCCTTAACTGTTGTGGAGAAAATATCCGCTAACACTGTATTTCATTTGCTGCTTTCCCCCACATATAACCTGTGGTGAACATTTTCGCAGCATTAAGTTTGCTTTGAAAACATTTTAAAGGACTTGATGAGGTTTTGTTCCCAGGCAGCCATCCTGTTCCTCCTGCATCTCAAAGGCTTCCTTTCCCTGTCTCCTTGGCTGCTGCCTCCTCCTGTGTTCTCAGGGTGCCTGAGAGACTTGGGGTTGCTCCCAGGTGCTCTCTCACCCAGCTACATCTGCCTATGTGATGTCAGCCAGTCTTAAGGTTTTAAGGATTGCTGGTTTCCAAAATTGTATCACCAGACCTGCTGTTTAGCTCAAATCTCCTCAACCTTATCCATCTACCATCTTCTCAACATGTCTGACATCCAGCAGATGATCCATGTGACAAATGTGACTCCTGGCTTCCTTGCAGTGTGACCTGCCACAGCCACCCCATCCCAGCTCCAGTTTTCCAAATTCTTGGGCTCATGATCTTGGAGTTATCTTTGACTCCTTTCTTTCTCACACATCCCACATCCAATCTGTCAGCAAGTGCTTAGGGTTCTATTTTCCATACATATGTGTCCGGAATCTGACTGCTCCCATCACCTGTGTGGCTGCTATTCTGCCAGAGCTCCCTCATCTCACCTGGATTAAGGCACCAGCTTCCTAGATCTTCTCCTGCCTCCATACTTCCCAGCATACCCTACTCATCATACAGCAGGCGGAACAAGTAGGTGACTCTGTCAATTCTCTACTCCAATCCTACTGGCTTCACCCAAAGCCAGAATTCTTACAATTATCTGTTACTCTGACTTCAGCCCATTTCTCTCCCCTGACTCAGCCTATCCCAGCCCCCAGACCCTTTGCTTTCCCACAGTGCAAGGCCCTTCCTGCTCTAGGGCCTCTGCATGCTGCATTCTCTAAATTTCTTTCTCAAATATCTCTAGGGCTTTGTTCTCTCAGCTCCTTTAAGTCTTGTTTAAGAGTCACCATCTTGGTGAGCTCTCATCTCCCTATTTTAGAATTGTAGTGAGCCAGGCATGGAGGCGCACACTCATAATCCCAGAACTCTGGGAGCCAGAGGCCAGAGGACTGCAGTTCAGTCCAGCCTGGGCAATCAGCAACTTGGTGAGATCTTGTCTCAGAAAGAGGAAGGGGATTCTGGCAATGAAGCAAAGCTCAAGGTTCAAGCCCCAGTACCACTGGATTCGGGGGGATAAAGGGAAAAAAAGTTGCAACATCTCGGACTTCCTATCCCCTTCATACTTTTTCTCCGTAGCTCATATATTAGCATCTAAAATTCTATGTATTTAATTTTTTGCATTCTTGGCTTATTAAATTCTCTTTTCCTGATCTGCCTATCATAGTCCAAGCCTCCTCCTCCCTCACTTGGACTGACACACCAGTGCTTTCACTGGCCCTCCCCACCCCATCTATTCCCAGCTTGGCAGCCAGAGGTATCCTTGAAAATGTCAGTGAGATCATGTCACCCATCTGCTTACCTCCCTCCTGGCTCCTCACCTCATGGAGAAGAGCAGCCAGGGACATCTCTATGGCCCTCAGGGCTCTGAAGAGGTGGTCCCTGTCCTCCTCTGATCTCACCTTGGCCCTCGTCACTCTATTCCACCTCCCTTGCTGTTTCTTGGACCCTCCAGACACATTCCCACCTCAGAGCCTGTAGTTGTGCTTCCTCTGCCTGGCACACTCCTCTTCCACCTACCAATATGGCCAGTGCCTCCCCTCCTTTAAGATCTTTCCTTAAGCATCAGTACCTTAGTAAGGCCTTTTCTGGCCATCTTTTGGAGGCTAGATTAAACAAGATGAAAATTCACTCCTTCCTCACCATCAATTTTCCCTGCTTTCTTTTCCATCCAAAGCATTTATCCCCATCCAACACACTAAATATTTTAACTATGCATGTTTATTGTGTCTCCACTCCCCAACTAAAATACAAATTCCACAGGAGCAGTGATTTTTGTGTGATTATTCTCTTATGTCCATTGAAATTGCCACAGAAATATGCTCATTTTAATATTATATATATGGCAATACTATGCCCACCTCACAGATGAAGATTTGTCCAAAGTCATTTAGCAGTCTAGAATAGGACTGCAGCCAAAGCCTGTACCCTACCTGAAACTGAAAGTGGCCCACTGAGCTGTTAATTCTATCCCAAACTGTTCTTCCCATTTCAATGTTACTATAATGATCTACTTGCTGAAGCCCAAAACCGATGAGTCACTCTTCATTTCTCCCAGTCTGAGAAATGATTAACTGAGTAACTGCATAAGATGACAGAGAGTACGTGGCTCTGGTTTGTAGTAAAGGCATGTGACTAGCCTGGTGGCAGTAGTAGTCACCAAGGCTTTACCTAAATGGATGACCCTGGAGGACAAGAAGGCAGAAGAGGGAAGGAAGTCACTCCAGGCAAACAGAACAGCCTGTGCAAAGACCCTGAGGTGGAAGGGAGGCTGGAAGATTAAACAGAACTGAAAGAACAATGTAGCTAACACAAGGAGTAAAGGGCAGAGTGAGGAGATGAAGCTGAAGGATGTAGGCCTAAGCCTTGTGGGGCTCAGTGGCCACATGAAGGATCTTGTTCAGGCTAAGATCAATGAAAATCCTTTGAGAGGCATAAAGGATTGGAAGTAATATGACCAGACTGTGTTTTGGATTAGCTGGCCTGTAGTGTCAGGAATGGATTAAAGCAGGGCTAGAGTGAATGCAGACACAGCCCGGGAGGCAAATGTGGAAGTCTATGCTAGAGATGGTAGTTGGGCTAGAATGCTCATGCTGAAGACAGAAAAAGACACCCTGGGGAAGTATCTAGGAGGTCACCTTGACAGGGCTTGGGGAAGGATGGGATGTGGGTGAGGAGGGTGGTGTGGAGCCAGAAATAGAACTTCCCAGGTTTCTGGCTTGTGGGACAGGACTGCTTGGTGAGGTAACCCACTGATACACAGACAGGAACCACAAGGGAAGTGAGGCTCAGAGACTCAGAGCCAGTACTCTTGTATAGCTCTCTTCTCTGCTAAAGTTTTCCTCTAGGTAACTTTTAGAGATTTTGGCTTTGGTTTTAATGAAACTGTTCCTTACTTCAGAGCAGTCTCTAGACATTGTTTGAATTATCTAAAACATTTATTAATTATCAGGTATTTGGCTGGGCAAGGTGACGCACATCTGTAATCCCAGCAACTAGGAAGCTGGAGCAAGAGGATTGTGTGTTGGAGACTAGCCTGGGCTACACAGCAAGAACCTGTCTCAAAATAAAAAATAAGCCAGGCATTATGGTACACAACTATAATCAAGCACTTGGGAGGCTGAGGCAGGGCAATTACTGCAGATTCAAGGCCATCCTGGGCTACATAGTGAGTTCAAGGCCAGCCTGAATTATATAGCAAGATCCAGTCTCAAAAAACAAAAAAAATTAATAATAATAATAAATCAGATTTTTAGGCCCCCACATAGACTTCTTGTATTAGCATTCTTGTAGTAGAAGCCCAGAACAAGCTCACTAGAGGTCTGACTATTGTGCAAACTAAGAACTGAGAATAACTTTTGTTTTGCTTCTGAGCCATATTTTTTTTTCCTGTGGTCCCACTGCTTATACTTTTCTGGGCCAGCAGTAGCTATAAGACCATTTGCCTAATGTTCTGACTTCATCCTGGATATCTTCTTGAACCTTTCAGATTAAGAAGTCTTGCAGGTTAAAGGGTTCCAAGGACAGGAAAAAGGGCAAAAGTGAAGCCATTCCTCCTAGCTGTAAAAACACAAACAAGGTGCTGTGTGAGGCACTAGTAACACCACACGTACCAGGAGGAGCAAGACCTTCCCCCAAGTAGGGGTGACAGACATGGAAACATCCTAAACACAGTCCACCCTCCACTTCTGCAGTCCCACACCCATGGATTTAGCCAACCAAAGGCTGAAAATATTGAAACAAAACTGTCTGTACTGAATATATACAGACCTTTTCTTGTTGTTATTCCCTACACAAAACAGTATAACAACTACTTACATAGCATGTACATTGTATTAGGTATTAAAAGTAATCTAGAAATGATTTAATGTATTTAGAAGGACTGTGTAGGTTTTATGCAAATACAACAAGATTTTATATAAGGGACATGAGCATTGTCAGATTTTGTTATCCATGGGGGATCCTGGTACCAATTCCTCACAGGTACTAAAAGGTAACCTAACAGTAAATGTGCATATGACACTTAACCAGGAGCCAGGCTGCTCCCCAAGCGATCTGTACCTATTAATTCATTTAATCCTTATAGTAGTCCTATGAAATAAGTTCTACATGGTGGCAAAGGGATGGATGTACAGGATGCTGAGTGGCCCAGAGAATTGTGAATCTACCTGGGCTGCCCAAGGGGGGATTCCTGAAGGTGATTATGAGATGAATGGTGAAAGATGAGAAATCAAGTTCAAAAGGCAGAGGACAAAGGAGTCATGCTCCATGTGTAAAGCACAGAAATGTGGGATGACAAAGCATAGCAGGGAAAATGCAAGTTTGATGAAGAGTGGCACATAGGTACCTGGAACGCAGAATTGCAAAGGGTGTTCTTGAAGAAGTAAGTTTGGGCTGTCATTAAAAATTCTTGGGGCCGGGGATTTAGCTCAGTGGTTCCACCGCCTGCCTCACAAGCGCAAGGACCCGAGTTCAATCCCCGGTACCAAAAAAAAAAAAAAATTCTTGTGTCAGGCTAGGGATGTAGCTCATTGGTAGAATGCTTGCCTAGCACAGGTAAGGTCCTGGGTTTAATCTCTGACACTGTAAAAAAAAAAATTTTTTTTAACTTTTGTAATTTTAGGGATTTAGATTTTCTTCTGAAAGAGGGGGGAACTTTCACAGAGAGAGAGATGAGATGATCCATTTGTATTTTACCAGATTTGTGATGAAAGCAACATAGAAATTAGAAAAAAAAAACTTGGAGAGAAGTTAGGCTGGAAGTGAAGACCGTAGAGTTTTCCTCAAGGTGAAAGACAGAAGAACTAAAATAGGATAGAGACAGTAAGAAGAAAAAAGGGGATAGGTTTGATGGTTTTATAAGAAATGGAACTGAGTAGACTTAGTGACATTAGATTTGAAGAGGAAGAAGGCGAGAGTTAAGAGTAGTGACCTGGGTTTCTGACTCATGGTGCTAAGAAGAAAGGTGTCATAGTCCGGCACGGTGACAAATGCCTATAATGCCAGCATGAGAAGGTTGAGGCAGAAGGACTGAGAGGTTAAGGGTAGTCTGAGCTACACAGAAAGTCCAAGACCAGCCTGGACTGTACAGTGAGACCCTGTCTCAAAAAACAAACAACAAAACCAAAATAGAAGGGAAGGAAGGGAAGAGGAAGCGAGAGCGAGAGAGAGACAGAGAGAGAGAGACAGACAGACAGGTAGACAGAATTCCTCTTAGGTCTATCAGAGAATTGTGGGCACAGGGCAAACTACTGTCCCTTAAACTACAGAGATAAACAGGGCAGATAGAGAATCACAACATTTTGGCAGAAACTCAGGAGCAGAAACCTCTGTGAAAGCCAGGCAGGAAGACAAACTGCAATTGACAATATTTCGGGAACCTGGGTGTGAACAAATTTGAGAGTTAAAAACTCCAGGAGATTCCATTCTTAAGGAGGTCTCCAGACTTTCAGTTTCATTTCCACAAATTTTACCAAGTTCTCATAGTGAAACTACAGAAAACTCCCCTTGGCTTCTGGCAGGCGGAGAGAAATGGCCATTTTGAAATACATCCGGAGCATTCCATTCTTAACAAGGGCTTCCCAGAAACTACTCCTCCTAACTCAGGTCATTAAGACAGTCTAACAGGACAAGACAGTGGTGCATGCCTATAATCCCAGCACTGGGAAGGCTGAGGCAGGAGGGTTCAAAGCAAGCCTGGATAATATATATCTATATATTTATATATATATATATACAGATATAGATATATAGATATAGAGATATAGAGAAGGAATTATTTTGAAAAGGCATAGCAAGCACCAGAACTAAACTAATTCAGAGATACTGAAACTATCAGGCTAGGAATTTCAAACTATGATTCACCCCTGTAATCCCAGAACTCTGGGAGGCTAAGGCAGGAGGATGGCAAATTATCCACTCAGTGAGATCCTGTCTCAAAATAAAAATCAAAAAGGGATAAACCAATCACAGTGGTGCATGCCTGTAACCCCAGCACACAGGAGGCTGAGGTCAGGGGATCACTGCATATTTCAGACCAGCCTGTGCTACATAGTGAGTTCAAGGTCAGCCTGAACTACTGAGTGAGATCCTGTCTCAAAAACAAAAATTGGGCAGGCAGGGAGGGAGGTGGGCTAGAAATGTAGGTCTATGCTAGGACCTGAGTTCAGTATCCAGTACTGCAATAAATTAATAAGTAAATAATCCTACAATCATTAGGCTATGGGCTTTAAAGGAAAACGTGGACAACATGCTAGAACAGGAGAGTAATGTGAACACAGAACTGAAAATACTAGAAAGAACTAAAGAAAATAAAAATAGAAATAAAAAACACTGAAACAATGAAGACTGCCTGATGGGCTCCAGGCATCAAAAGACTGGACAAGGCTAAGGAGAGAATCAATGAGCTTGAAGAAATGTCAAAAGAAATTTCCAAAACTGAAATGCAAAGAAGAAAAAGAACATAATATCCATGAACTGCAGAACCATTATAAAAGGTGTAACATACACATAATAAGAATACCAGATAAAAAGAAATGTGTGAAGCAACAATGACTAGGAATTTCCTAAAACTGGCTGGACATGGTGGCATGTGCTTTGGGGAGGCTGAGAAAGAGGGATTGCCTCGAGTTCAAGGTCAACCTGAATTATATATCGAGATCCTGTCTCGAAAAAGAGAATTTTCCCAAACTAATGATGAATACCAAACCGATCCAGGAAACTCAAAGAACAGCAAACATGACAGATACCAAACAAACACACAAAAATACAGCAGAACACTGGCATATCATATTCAAACTGCAGATAATCAAAGACATATAAAAAATTGAAAGCAAGCAGTAAGGTAGGAAACTGTTTAATAGAGGAGGAAAGAATTACATTAACATCCATTCAGAAAGCATTCAAACAAGGGAGTGGGGTGAAATATTGAGTTGAAGGAGAAAAAAACCCTTCAAATCTAATATTCTGTGTTCAGCAAAATTACCCTTCAAAAAAGAATAAACATTTTCTAAAAAAAAAAAAACCTGAGGAAATCTGACTTCCCTTGCAAGATGTGTTAGAAGGAACTCTTTAGAAAGAATGAAATAATACAGGTCAGAAACTCAAATCTACACAAAGGAAGAAGAATGTTAAAGAATAAATGAAGGAATTATATAACTAGAATTTCACACATGTCCAACTTATAATTAGCAATAAATTGCGACTCAGATAAACCTCATTGGCTACCATACTGCCACCGTGCCAAGCTATGTCCAACTTACAGTACTTTTGGACTAGGGGTCTCAGCAGCAATTAAATGCATGGATTCCCTCAGAGGACTGATCTCGGACTGGGGACAATGTGAGCCATTAGGTCTAGGAGTAGAAGAAATGGCCCAAAAGACTGTGCAGTTTCATTAAATCTTTGTAGTCAAGGCAAGTAACTAAATCAATCAACACAGTACACACTATGTGCTAAGTTTGGTCCTTGGTGATGGAATGAGTGGGAGACACTAGAAAAGATGACAAGAAGATAGGAAGAATAGTACGTTTGTTAAGTTTGCTTTAGCTGTGTGTAAAACAGATATGTGAAAAAGGAAACTTTTTAATTTTATTTTATTTGTATTTACTTGCAGTACTGGGGATTGAAACCCAGGGTCTTCCGACTGAGCTACATCCCCAGCCCTTTTGATTATTTTATTTTGAAGACCGGGTACAGTATCTGAAAAGTGCCCCAGCTGAACTCTTAACTTCCGATCCTCCTACTTGAGCCACCTCTTTATGGGGATCACAGATGCGGGCCAACACCCTGGCAAAATGTAATTTAAAACTACATGAGACAGGAAAGAGATAATACAGAAAAGCACAACTATCATCCAGAGAAAAGGAGGCTAACAACTTGATGCTTTTCAATTTTTTTTTTTTTTTTTTTTTTGGATAGTACTAAGGATTCAACCCACGAGTTCTAAAATAAGCTACATCCCCCACCCCACCCCACTCCGCTGCACTGAGGTTTTTTTTGTATTTGGGGGTAAGGTTTCTCTACTTGCCAGGCTAACCTCGACCTTGCAAGGTCCCTGCCTCAGTCTTTGGGGTAGCTGAGATTACCGGCATGCACGCCACGCCCTGCTCCAAATTTTCTAATTTTTATTTTATTGCATTCACAAATTCCTTCATCCTTTCACGATGCTGGGGCTCAAACTTAGGCCTTCTCTCCTGCTAGGCCAGCCCTGTACCACTGAACATCACCCCAGCTGTTATTTTATTTTTTAAAGGCGAGCGCCCCCTTCTGTTTCGAGAAAGGAAACTTCTAATTCTTACTGAAGTAGCGCGACTCAGGAAAGGCTTCGGAAACGCTGCTTCCCTAGCGGGTATTTAAGGAACCCTATTTCCAGAAGAAGGTGACAGAGAAGGCAGGCACCGTGATCCCCAATTTACAGATTACAAATTGAGTCTCCAGAGCTAAGTAATTTTTCTGCAGGCCCCAGGAAGGCAGAAGCTACAAAGGTCAGCGAACAGACCCACCACAATCCCGAAACCCCCATTTACTAGGGACCCCGCAGGAGTAAAGAGTCGTACCAGACCTCCTGGGCTCCACCTTATGACATCACGCCACATTTTCCTCTCTCTAATCGTCCATTGGCTCATTTCTGCTGACTTCTTCCAGAGCACCGGAAACCAGTCTCAGAACCGGAAGTAAGGTCTCTCGAATTCCTGACAGCGGCAGCATTTAAAGTTGAGCGATCAGGTGCTTTGGCCGACGGCCTGTTTCTCCATTCAGGGTCTACCCGAACCAGGAGGACACTCCATACCTCTAGTGCCCTATGGAGAGGGCTGAGGCTGATCGCAAAGTATCCGGCGCGGAACAAAAGACGCAACACTCCGAGAGGTGCCGGACGCCCCGCCCCTAGAGAAGGGTTTAGAAGTCTCCCCCGGGGAAGGCACCCGAAGACCTCCCCGGGGCGTAGCCCGCCGATCATGGCCACGCCCCAGGGGGCCGGTTCCGCCACTTGGCGCTTGGCGGCCGCAGCCTGCTGGCGAGTGGTGCGCGGACGCTGCGTGGAGCATTTCCCGCGAGTCCTGCAGTTTCTGCGCTCCCTGCGCGCGGCCGCCCCCGGCTTGGTTCGCTACCGGCACCACGAGCGCTTGTGTATGGGCCTACAGGCCAAGGTATTGGAGCGCGGAGAATCTGGAAAGGGGCGGGGTGCGAGGACCTGTGGAGGGCTATCAGGTTGGGGGTGAGACTAGTTGGAAAGGGTCGCTTGCCCGAAACGGGCTTCTGAGCTCAGTACCGTGTAGATGGTGGTGGAGATGATCCTGCAAGGCCAGCCTTGGGCTCAGGTTCTGAGTGTCCTGAATCGCCACTTCCCAGAGTCTGCACCTGCACCGCCCGACCCGAGAGCTGTGAGTAATCCCTGGAACAAGCCCTAACCACAGTTACACTTAGTGCAACAAAGTGGCCCCTTCTCCGGACCACTGGATCCTGCTGTCCCCAACTCTTATGCCTTCCATACCCTTCCTCAACAGACAAAGCGGGATCTGAGGAAGATTTTGGAGGCACGGGAAACCTTTTGCCAGCACGTGAAGCAACTGTCAGAAGCCCCTGTGGATTTGGCCTCAAAGCTGCAGGTGAGACTGGCTGGTTTGCAGGTTATTAGGTGGCTCCTGTTTTTATCCTCCTCTTCTGACCTTCTTTTCCACTCAGCAGGAGCTTGAACAAGAGTATGGGGATCCCTTTCTGGCAGCCATGGAAAAGCTGTTTTTTGAATACTTGTGTCAGCTAGAGAAAGCACTGCCTGCAGTAGAGGCACAGCAGGTTTTGTTGGGGCAAAGCACAAGGGCAGAGTGTGGGGTGATTGTATCAAAAGCTGTGGTCTTCATACATCTGCCTCCCCACAGCTTCAAGATGTGCTGAGTTGGATGCAGCCTGGAGTTTCTATCACCTCTTCTCTTGCCTTGAGCCAGTATGCTGCAGACATGGGGTGGCCGCTTCCAGGTACCAGGACCATCTGGCAACTAGCAATTTAGGGAGGTAGTGTTTAGCCTGACATCATCTGAGTCAGCCCACTGGAAGTTACATGGGCCTGAAGAGTATCTGTTCTCTTTATAAGGAACCTCATGTTTTTCTTTCAGATCCCTTTGTTTCTGGCTCAGTGAACTTGACTGAGCCCATGGAACAGAATCATTCTCAGCAATCAAGACCAGCTCTCCACAGTCCTCTGCCAAAAGCCAAGCCCAGCCCTCAGGGACCAGCTTCAAGGAAGCATCCCGAATCTTTAGCTGGCCACCACTTCAATCTGGCCCCGCTAGGCCAGCGAAAACTCCAGTCCCGATGGACATCTGCAACGGGCAGCTATAAAGAGCGCCCCACGGTCATGCTGTTGCCCTTCAGGAATCTGGACCCACCAAGCCAAGTCATAGCTAAACCTGAGAGCAGGGAAGAGCGTGGGATACACACAGCAGACACAGCCTGTGTGGGCACAAGAGCAGCCTTCACTGGCAAGTCAAAGAGTCCATCTCAGGTCCTGGGGGAACGGGCACTGAAGGAGAACCCACCTGCATCGTCAGCCTCAGAGCCAACAGAGTGAGTAGAAGGGTTGCTTCTCCCTGCTAGGAGCACATTCTTTGCCTTCTTTCCCTTTACCCTTGGCTTGCTTCCCTCTCAGGAATTGCTTGGATTGCTACATGAACCCTCTGAGACTGTCATTATCACCTCCCAAGGCCAAGAAGCCAGGTAGGTGTGCTGAGTAGGGATTAGATTAGCCAGGATTCAGCTCAGTGGCACCGAAACTGCCTCACAAGGGAAAGGTTGTGAGTTTGATCCATGGTACCAAAAATAAATAAATTAACGGGATTGGATCAGACAGCCTCTTTCCACGGGCCTGTGTTCACCTAGAAAGAGAAATTTGCTTCTGGTTTCCTTCCTACAGCATGTTCTCCATTTCTGACCACCTCAGTCATTACCATAGGAGACTTGGTTTTGGACTCTGAAGAGGAAGAAAATAGCCAGAGGGAAGGAAAGGTGAGTAGCAAGGAGCAGAAAGCTGGGGCAAAGGATGGGCAGAAGAACATGACTGAGAATGAGAAGCCCACAGGCTCCAGAATAAGAGCTGCGGAAATCATTTCCATGATGGAAACACCACCACCTCCCCCTGCTCCCTTCTCTACAGGAGTCTCTGGGAAACTATCAGAAGACAAAGTATGATACCCTGGTCCCCACCTTCTGTGAATACCTCCCCACCTGTGGCTCCAGTTCCGTGCTTGCTCCTTCCCCTGACTGCACAGACAGCTCTAGACCCCTGTGAAACCACTGGAATACCGTCTGCCCTCTGTCCACCTGTTTTCTCAGCTCTGCAGTCAGCTTAGTGGGAATGAAGTGGAAGCCCAGCCTTGGGTTGCCTGAATTCATGCTAAAAGCGGTGTAATGCTTGATAATTAAATTTTGGATTTGTCACACTGTCTTGATGTGGGGAAGGGAAACTAAGGCTTCCATGGGTCAGCAGAGGTCACTCCTTAGAACTGGCCTCCCTAGAGCTGGAGGAGCCCTTTGCCTTTTTCCTTGCTTGGAAAGTGTTACGGGTGCAGAGAAGGGTTATCTTGGTGATCCCAGGGAGTCAGTGCAGTTCCTAACTAACCACCCTGGAGAAGCACCCAGGTCAGCGACTAGCATCTGTTTAAAGTCCATGAGGGCCAGGGATTTAGTTCAGTGGTTCCGTCGCCTGCCTCGCAAGCGCAAGGACCCGAGTTCAATCCCTGGTACCAAAAAAAAAAAAAAAAAAATTAGAGCACACTTAAAGTCCATGAGCTCTCTATTGGGAGAGCTCTCTCTTTATTGAGGTGTTTTAATTATGTGAACATTTGAACTTGAGATACCTGAGGATGTAATTTAATGAGACTAGTTAAGAAAACAATTGTATTGTAGGTGTGTACCACCACACCCAACTAATTAAGGTTTTTACTTTTAAGGCAAACTTTAGAATCTTGTACCAGGTCTTTTTTAGGTTAACAGTCTTAATAAGAATCAAATGATAGTTTTAGATCTCTTACAAATTTAGGAAACTGTGTTAATGACCACAAATAGGTTTATACCAATGCATAAGTGTATCTCATCCATACAACGAAATGCTTATTTAGTTAAATCCAAAAGATGTAGATCACATTTTAATTTGTAGGATTGAATTGTATTAAATACAAATAGCAGAGATATCAGGAAGTTTTGATTATTTTGTATGTTTAAAGTCCTAATATAATGTATATTGTATAAAAGAGATCACTTACTGGTTACTATGTTTCAAACCTATGTATTTTTAGTTTTATAAACTTTGTGCATTTACACGGCACATCCCAGCATAGGCTTAGTTATGTTTGTTTTTGTATCAGGCAAAAGACATGGCATTTAGTGTCATTAAAAGAGGGTAAGTTTAAGTCAAAGTCTACAGAACAACTGTTAAGCTGTGTCTGTGAGCAGTGGATGTTACTCCAATTCACCATTTACTTCTGTTGTATTAAGACCTTCATACTCACTGCCAGGCATGGTGGTGCACGCCTATAATCCCAGTACTGGGCAGGCTGAAGTGGAGGATCACTGCAGGTTTGAGAGCAGCCATGGATACATAGTAAGTTCAAGACCAGCCTGAACTACATAGTGAGCCCCTTTCTCAAAAACAACAACAACAACAAAAAGACTTCCATCCCCATATTTTTGTTTATATATATTTTTTAAACCATGAGAATATTTATTTTTTATTTATTTTTTTTGGTACCAGGGATCAAACTTGGGTCCTTGCGCTTGCGCAGCAGGCAGCGAAACCACTAAGCTAAATCCCTGGCTCCAGAATATTTATTTTGCAAGTGCTTAATTCTTTTGCCACAATTTCCCCACATTTTTAGACAATATCTTTCCTCCCTCCCCAGGCTTTTAATCATTAGAATTTGTCAGAAGTTAAAAGGAAAAAACACATTCTTTCAGCTGAATAAATAACACATTTAATTTAAAGATTAGGAACTCTTTGAATATCGAGAATTAAAGCTGCTGGGGGTCATTTATTTGTAGATCCCAAGGTACCCTCAGTTCTAATTGAGAAAATATCTCCTATAAACTGTAACAAAACTCTCATCTCAAAACACTGAAATTTTTTATAAATTGTATCCATACTCAATAGTTTTACAATATCTGGAAAGGTACTAGATTTTTAGAAATAGCATGGACATACCTCTACATTCAGCAAACAGAGCTTATTATCAATGTGACAATACCTGAAACCCAGTCACCTGTGTAGAAGTCTGCCCTATCTTCCCCCCTCATAAATTCACTGTTAAACCCCAGATTCTTAGCCAGTGAATGCCAGGCAGAGCTTGTTTATTCTCAGTGTTATTGTGCAATTAGGTGTCTATTCAGAAAGTCCTTACCTATGCCTCTGTCTTCAAGAGTTTTACTTATTTTATCTTCCAGCAGATTAAGTGTTTCTGTGCTAACATTTTGATCTTTGGTCTATTTTGGTTTTACTTTAGTACATGGTTAGAGATCTAGCTTCAGTTTTCTGCATGTGGTTAGCCATTTTCCCAATACCATTTGTTTAAGAGGCTAACTTTGTTGTTACAATTTAAAAATTTTTTTATTAGTACACATTTGTAGTACGTAATCATCATACTTCCTGTGGGTAGTTGGTACATGTACATAACACATCTTAATTCTTTTCTTATCCCCTTCCTTCCCCTCTTCCCCCACCCCCTCCATCTCTCGGTTCCCTTCCCATTTTCAGTAGATCTGTCTCCCTATTTCCTGTCTTTAATTTGCTCTTTATTCATATTTTGTGTTTCTTATGTAAGAAATCATGCACTATTTAAACTTAGGTATCTAATTTACTTCACTTAGCATTGTTTCAAGGAGCATTTATTTTCCTACAAATGACTCATTTATCCTTCTTTATGGCAGTCTATCCTTCTTCAGTACACTCCACTTTATATAAATACTTTCTTAATCCATTCATCTACTGATAAACATGGGTATACATGTTTCACTGTAATATGATGTCTTTAACTCTCTGTGGAAGTTACCTAGAGGGGTACTAGCTGAGTTGAATAGAATTTCTAGTTTTAGTTCTTTGAGAAATCTCCATACTGATTTTTGTAATCATTTTTCTAGTTTACATTCCCACCATTTGTTCAAAGGTTTCATTCGACTCAGATATTTCTTTGTTGATTTTTTTTTTGGTCTGGTTAATCTATTTGTGACAGTGCAGTATTGAGGCCCCCTCATTATAATTGTGTTGGTGTTTATCTGATCTTTTTATGTCCAGTTGTGTTTGTTTTGTGAAGTTGGGCATGCTGATGTTTGGTGCGTATATGTTTATAATTGTCATCTTTTTCCTTTTGAATTGTTCCTTTAATATGTAGTGACTTTCTGTGCCTTTTCCGATTAGTTTTGGCTTGAAATACACTTTGTCTGAAATTAGGATAACTACTGCTTTTTGCCAAGTTCCTATTTCATGGAATATTGTTTTCCATCCTTTGATTTTTAATCTGTGAGTTTCTTTTTGGAATAAATTGTGTTTCTTGTATGTAGCATATTGTTGCATTTTGTTTCTTGATCCCTTCTGCCAATCTGTGTCTTTTAATTGAAGAACTGAGACCATTCACAATGAGAGTTATTACCATTAGGTATTGACTTATTCCTGTCATTGCATTATTTTCCTGTTGCTGATTTCTTTTTGTTTTGTTTTGTTTTAGACAGGATCTCACTTTGTAGTTCAGGCTGGCCCTGAGCTCATTATGTAGCCCAGGCTGGCCTTGAACTCAGGATGATCCTCCTGCCTCAGCCTCCCAAGTGCTGGGATTACAAGCATTTGCCACCACACCCGGCTAAACCACAAAATTTAAAAGTAAATTTACTGATCAGGCAAGATATTCCCCAATGGGCCCTTGTCAACTTTTCGCAGGGTATCTGGAAGGCTTGATATTTTCTTTGACATCCTGAGACAGGAGTCAACCTTAGCTTTGCAATTTGCCAGGACCCAGTGCAGGCTATGTGTAACCCAGCAGCCGCGTGCGCACCGATACTTAGCCCGACTTATTCTCTGTACCAACCTGGGTTTAGGCTTAAGCTTGAGCTCAGCCTGGCAGTCCAGACCTTTCTGCTTTGTCTTTATCTTTTTGGCAGTGTCCCACCCCCACCCCAGCATTGACACTAATAGTTTTATCCCAGTTCTCTTTCTCTTGTGCATACTTGGCATGACCTTGACCTTGGAATTTAACCTATCTTGTTGCTGCTGTGGGGGAGACACACCATGGCAACTGCGCTCTTATACAGGTTTGTTGTTTTTTTGTATGGTACGGGGGATCAAACTCGGGGGATCAAACTCGGGGGATCAAACTCGTGTCCTTGCGATTGTGAGGAATGCAACGGAACCACTGAGCTAAATCCCTGAGCCCATACAAACTTTTTTTTAAATTATGCTGTTTACTAACAATATTTTCCCTAATTTGGGGGGGTTGGGGACCCTAGGCAAAACTAGAGGAGCCACTCACCAGGGAGAAAGCAAGCCAATTGGTTCAGGCATCTGCCTTTTCAGCCACGGTGGGAGCTTTGGGCAACAGTTCCCCTTGTCCAGTGCCAATTGTTCTAAGCACAGATTAACAGGTAGACAAATAGAGGAGATGCTTAAGACACAATAAATCGGTAAATCAGAGTGTACTTGAGATGTTCTGGCCAAGTTGGATTATAATAAGCCGTTTTCTCTTAGTTTCAGGTTGATAACTATAAAGTCTAGTCAGAATTCTCCCTGGGGAGGGCTGGGGATTTAGCTCAGTGGTTCCTCTGCCGGCTGCCTCCCAAGCACAAGGACTTCAGTTCAATCCCCTGTACCAAAAAAAAAGAAAGAATTCCCCCTAGGGAATACCAGTTAATACTTTGGTTATTTTAACAATAGAGAGGGAGGGAGGGTGTCAGTATGGAGGGGAGAGGCCAGGAGGGTTCTCTGCTGGAGAAGGCTGGAGGCTGAACTGAGGACTGAGAGTGGTCAAAAGAAAGGCCAAGGACATCAGTGTCAGAACCTGTGTCAAGAAAAGTGGCCTGTGAGAGGATTTAGAAAGGCAGAGGTGGCAGCCCTCCCACCGCTGGGAGCCTGTGACAAGACCATGAAGGCTTGAATGTAAGGGACCTTTGAGTCTTTGCCCTGATTGTGACAGAATAAGTCCAATTGCAATCTGGCGTTATAATTTCGAGTTCCATTACGGGGCCAAAACTCCTGATCTGGGAGTTTATATTGAGACCAGGGAGTATTGGATAGGAAAATGAGACATTTCTTCTTTGGAGTTTGAGGATCAAATCTAGACCTGTTCTTAAGAGTACAGCCCAGGGCTTTCAGCCAGAACCACCATCTTCTAGTAATTTGCCACAGTGACAAAGGGAAAGAGAAGAGGAAGCTGATACGTATTCTCTAGACCTTTCAGAAAACATAGGGTTGTTCTTTTAGCCACAAACATACTCATCTACAAAAAGGATGATATAGCCATCAAGGGAATTCCTATTCAAAAAGGAATGCTACCATGGCAAAACTGGAAGCATCTACAGGATGCTGTTGGCATTGTTGTAAACAAGCAAGTTAATGGCAAGATTCTTGCCAAATTTGGTAAGATTCTTGGCAAAAGAATTAATGTGCATATTGAGCATATTAAGCACCCTAAAAACTGAGGTAGCTTTCTGAAACGTATCAAGGAAAATGAAAAAAAAAGAAGAAAGCCAGCTATTCCCCTTCTTGTTATCTCCCTGAAATTAAAAAAGCATCACACCACAGCA